TTTAAGTCCCGGCCCTCCTAGGCTGCGTCACGTGTGGTGCCCGATTTTTTACGTGTCTGTGGTGCTACGATTTTTGTGGCATCGAAAATAACTGTGCAGGGGATGGATTAGTTCTTCCTGAAGACCCTATCGTATCGCTGAGGCGCAACATATGTTGTTCTTCCTGTCGATGAACTATCTCATCGTGATCTGGTTCGCGGAATTGTTTCCCGCCAAAGAAATTTGCATATTTTTTTGGAACGAGGCCTAGGCTCGTATGAGCGAAAATTTTAAAAAGGGAGGATAAACGGGGTAGAAACATATACTCAAATTTTCAGCCTCCCAGCTCTCCTGGCTGCTCTGTGGAGGACGGCGAACGGGAAGGGGTGAACCAGTGACATCCCAAACCGGCTAAAGCCTTGCTAATTGCTTCGGTCAAGAGTTCCCACTGAACCGATGACCACTAAAGAAGACAAAACGAATGTTAGGATCGCCAGCAGACTGATCACCAAGCATATAGCATTACTGTGGATAACTGGCAAATTGCCAAGAGCATAGCTGTGAAACAAGGCCACGAAATAACAGCTGTGTTCCATTTCTAGGTACTGTAATTTTAATTTTAGATGATGTGTGTTTATGTAAAAAGTAAGGGAATAAAAGGAAATGTGAATAAGTTAAAATCTGAATAATAAAAATTTGAATAGAAATGTTTCGGTCCATCAAGTCGCATACAGTTTGAATCTTGAATCTCCAGTGTCCAACTCTGCATTGAATTTCATGTATATAGAATCAGCAGACTCCAAACAAGGGATCAACGTGGATCTCTTAAAAATAGTGTGGAGCTCAAATAAAACAATTTGAAGCCAATAATACCTCATGTGATTTTTGAACAGTCAACAGAGAAATCAAATTAGCAAAATTCTCACGCTTTCCCACGTAAAGAAACAGAACAAGGTTTTGCAATGATAGCCAAACGAATTGATGAAATTCAGCAAAATTAGGTGTACTCCTACAATTTTCTATGGTTTTCAAAAGAATGTGAGTTAACTCATCGGTAACTCATAATCTCATGAGTTATTCGAACTCATATATGACGATTATGGGACAACGTGATTTCCACTGCTATCCGAATGATGCTTCGTTTGTTCCAATGTTTACAGCTGAGGGATGAAACAGGCTGCATTCTAGCTCTGCTTCGTTTATTTCAATGTTTACAGCTAAGGGATGAAACACAGGCTTCATTTTAACATATGCCTTCTTCCATGTTTTTTTTTTTTCAGTGCACAAAATCGAAAATTCAACGATAAATTGTCAGCAGAAGTCAATTTTGTGCAGCTCGCAAAAAAGGTTATGTATTTTAGCCGTTTGCAAACTA